GCTACGTCATTTACTGACACTTACACGACCTACCTGCTCCACAAATATGTCCCTATTGAGCATAAACCTACCAGTAAAATTGGTTTGGTGAATACTGTTAGTTCGACTGGTTTGAAATTCCAGCGAACGGGCTGGTCGCATGGGAGTTTTTGATGTTTTCTCTTGTGCAATGTGAATGCCAGCTAGTTTTCTTCGAAAAGTCCATCATGAAGCCATCAAGAATCTTTGCTCTTCTTAGACAAATAGCCCTCAAGTGCTTTTCTAAAATCAAACAAACCAAATCGAACCTTTAAAAAGTGCTCCACAAAAGCATCCCTGTTCTTAGGCAGAAAGCCCTTGCGTGCTTTGCCGTGATCAAAATAATGTGACTTAAGCTCTATCTGGCCTGCGTAGGCTCAGTTGCTTCGATGTCCTCAATGTGAAACACATTATCTAGCAAGTGTGGAATGTTTGCCATAGGATTATACGAGTGCCTGTTCAATTTTATGCCTCAATGCATTGTGGTCAGTACTTAATTTCTAAAAGAAGAAGGACTATGAAAGGTCGTCAACAAAGATAAAAATAAAGAAAAAAAAATTTAAATGTAAATTAATAAATAAAATTAGATAATTCAATTTAATTAATGAAAATAGTTCAGTAGAAAATTGAAATACCGGAACTCATCTTAATTTAGACTCCAACTGGAATTATACTTTTGCTCAAAGAGTGAAAAGTACTGGGACTGGATTTTAGGTGGATTAAAGACGTGACTATGACTTGAGATCGTACTGAAGATGATTGCACTGCATGCATATCCTTCTTTAATTGACCTGCTGCTCTGTTTTGATGAGCAGATCTCAAAACAAGAGAATAGAGCATAGATCACATATACTAGCTAAGTTCAGAATCCAGAAAGCAAACAGAATTAACATTTTTTATGAAGAGCATTGCTTATAGATTATAGGTCACATAATATCATGATAAAAGGTGTTTATTACGCTAACCTGTTGACTCAACTTGTACTAGGCCCACCAGCGGCCGAGAGGTAAATCCGCTGAATGCTAGTAATTCGCTCAGAGTTTTATCTTGACGAATAGGCTGGCTGCAGAGGAGATTTTGCTGTTTTCCTCATGTATAAAGTGAATCAGAGCCAGTTTCCCTTATATTGTTCCTTTGAAAAGGCATATCTTCTCTTAGACAGATAGTTCTCACATTTTTTTTTTACGTAATAATCCAATACAATTCCTATTAACTATAAAACTGTGTAGCAAACTCAGCAGTAAAATTCCGCTATGCATAAAAACGCTGCAGCACACAAGACTAAAATTTGCTAGATTGCTGTTCCAGGAATGATAATTTCAGCTTATACCCTATGCACAATGTTCACTAGACCTTGTCATCAAATGATTTCTTTTTTGCTTCAAAAACAGAAGAAGTATTTGTATATTTCATACTGCAGTCTGATGATGATTTGAATGATGTTCAGGAATGATCTGAAGGCTGTGATAAAAATATTTTTATATTGGAACTCAATGCGTAATTGATTGCTGTACTAAATGCATTTAAGTCTACATAGGAAACTGAAAATGGAATTTTAGACATTTATCTTCTACAAATTTATTATGCTTAAACTTACTGAATATCTCTATATATGGAATAAAATTAAGCAGAGAGAAGGAATATTTCACAAATGGCATGACATGACAAAACTAAAATGTACATAGGCTGTACAATGAAATTTTCTACCATTATGAAGATGTAAGACACAGAGCTCTTAAGTTGTCTGAATAATTTAAAAATAATACACTTGTTATGAATCCAGGTAAACATTGAAATTTAAAATGGAAGTTAGATTTTGAATGTTGATCATAAGTTTCAAGGCTATTAAGTTAAACTGCAGAAAACTTTTCAAAAGAGAAATTAAAAACTGAAAACAACAAATTACAGAATTAATGTATTCAAAAAAAAAAAAAAAAAAAAAAAAAAAAAATCACAGGAGTTCACCAGACAAACCAGTTAAAAAAATAATAATTGAACTAAGGAAGTAGCTGTTATTTTGGAAACAAATGAACAAAAACTTTTCATTTGAATAATAATAAAAAATATATAGAGATTTCAAATCATTAGTGAAAAGATCATTAAAAATGCCAGTGTGGTAACTGTATTAGAAATCTCAGCTCTTCTAGATATAAATCCATTAGTAACTTTAAATAAATAAATAAAGGTAATATTCTGATGGTTCTGATGAAGTCATACATGTGTGCTGATTCATTGCAGTTAGCAATATTTCTTGAAATGTGTTGGTCCTGAAATCAGTTTCTCATGTATTTCAAGGTTTTGAAAAGAAGTAAAAAAAGTATCAAATTGGTTAAAATTTATTCAAAGGGGTTAAAACAAAAAGAACGGCATTTATCTCATGTACATATTTTAATTCTTTTAGAACTTGTATTTTAGAACCATCAAAAATTGTTTTCAGATTTTTTCATTAAATAGCTTCACAAAACTCACTTCATTCTCTGACGACTGAAAGTATTAAATTATATTGCTTGTATTATTTGTTACTGTACTAAAAATGGTCTGCCTTAATAGATGTTGTGTATTATTTATTTTTAGATTATTATATTAGATTAAGTTTATTCTTATAGGAAAAAAAAGTAATAATGTATATATGTGCAAGATAAGTTGATAAAAAGGTTAATTTTTTTTAATTGTTTACTTAAAACATCCAACAGAAGTCATACACTTAAAATTTATATGTATAAATTGATTCACATATTTGCATTAAACTGAATATTTTTAAATACATTATCTTAGAATAATAATGTACTTATGTAGAATTTACTAATATTTTACTCTATATACATACAAATATATTGCATTATTTCAGACTTCCATATTTAGATATTTGGATAAAAAAGGCCAAGCATTTTTAGATGTCACATCTGTAAATAGTATAAAGCAAAACTCTTACAGAAAAAAAAAAAAAAAAAAAAAAAAAAAAAGAAAAAGGACATTTGAAGTACAGTTCTTATACTAGAAATTAGGTGCTTTGAACCTATAAGTTCTTTTGATAAAGTTAATGACAAGACATAGTGCTGCCATTTATTTCTTAAATAGAATATATAAATATGTCATCTATTACTTGAATATAATATATATATATTAATATATAAATATGCTTGAATATAATGTATAATTATTTTCAGGAAAATATTTTTTTTAGAAAATATTCATAACATTATAATTTTTCTAACAAAAATAATCATCTGTTATCATACTTCAATACCATAAAATATATTTAAAGGTAAAATGACTTTCCTGTATAAAGTTTTATTTTTGAGCTTATGGGGCAGGATATGATAATAAAACAAATACTGCATAAGTCATTTGTAAGCGATTAGCTTTCTATATTCAGAGTGTGTAATCAGTCACATATTTATAAAAAATACCTTAGAATTATCTTTATTATAATTTTGTACATATCCCCCTCCTTCTTTTCAATATTAAATATAAGAGAGTCAATTGTGTTTTTAATAAATCATCAGGTACACTATCAAAAGGTAAAAATTTTCACGTCTTTATATTAAAATTTGAGTTCTTCTAAGAGTTTAAAACAAACCCACACACAAAAGTTTGCTGTAGAAACCAAAATTATGATAAAAAATTTCTAAACTTTTTTTTTTTTAAGGAGCTGGGTGGTTTGTTTACATTCTTTTTCAGCAAGACTTTTTTTCGAGACCAGACTCAAAAATGTATGTATGCATGTATATCTGTGCACACACACACAAACGTATGTACACACACATACATATGCTACATGAACACCTACATCCGTACATACCAGCATATGCACATACCTTTCTGAATTAATCTCCTGAACACACTCTTTATGTATATATAAATGCTTCTGTATGCAATTTTATAGAAATATTTAGCTACGCATGACAGAAAAGTTACACAAGGTTTTAAGACGATTTTTCAATTTCGTTTCACAAGAATGTGATTTTACTGCTTGCATGCATGATTTATTTAAATCTGTTGATAAGAATTTCAAGAAATTTTGATTATTTGTGTAAACTCCGCATCAGTATAAAATGATCAAACATTAGCAATTTAAAACAAGAATAATATTCAGATATATTCAAAGTTCTTTATTTTATATAATGTTTTAGGTATCTATCAAAGAATGATAGTAATTAGTCATCAAACGAAATAAAAAATAACTTTTTCTTGACATTCTAGCACTACACGGAAAAGCAATTCACCCTTCCGATAATAAACACAAATGTAAACAAACATCTCTTTACGACTGGTCGGAATGCGCAGAAATCACGAAAGTGTCTCTGTGCAACTAGTCGTACGTTTAGCATTTTTACCATGTTTCAGCTAAATGTCCGACGTCGTACGGGTAACACAGCGGTGCGAAACAGCCCTTTTGACAACAAACTATCCCCTTCCCCTGAGCCTCGAGCAATTTAGAGGTGAGACAGACTGATTTGTTATGCAATAAACGTCACTTCCGGACGGAATTTTAACTTCATTTTTCGCGGACAGAATTTTAAGTGGTCAGACTCGCTCTCCTGTCTGCTGTCGAGTGCAAAGGACTGGTTGATCTCGAACGGTGTCCAGACTAGACCCAAAATTGCCAAAGTGTGTCTTGATATGTGGCTGACCGCAAGTACACTTCTATACCGTAAGTACACTTCAAGCTTTAATTCACAAAAGTTTCTGTCGCTAGCGACCACAATAATAGGTATTTTAAGCATTATTATTAATGCAATCCACAGATATGATATGACATCTTGTAACTTATTAGTGCTTATGAACCTAGCACCTTCTGTTGGAAGATTAACATCTTCATGAAATAATTTTTAGGCTATATCTAGTTCAGTCAAGAGATCAGATCTAGTCATATCACTATTTTCTCACTTACTCCTCAAACCTTGACACGCTACGTAGTGGTTATGAGCTAATGATCCTTTGGGCTAATAACTGTAACCGCGAGAATAAAAACTGATTTTTCCGGATGCAAAGTTGTGTTGCGAGAGTGGGTATATTATGCACGGGAGTTCGTTTGCTCCTGTGAAATTAATCTAGCTATTCTTTCTCATTGTTTCGAGAATCATTAAACTGATATAGAGTTTTAATATAAAATTAATGCTATAGCACGTTTCATTTGGGAAGCAGAGCCTAGAGAATAATTAGATCATTGCATAATCTGCATATGGTAAAATCGTCTCTATGAGTGAGGTACTATGTATTTTCTTTATATAGATTAATTCGCGAGTAATAACTAATCAGATGAATTTTGATTTCTATTGAAAATTTTGCATTATATCTGAATTTTTTTTGTAATTTAAATACCGTATGTTTTTGTTGTTTAACATTTACATTGCTTAATCGATTAATTATTTTAAATAATTTCGCCACTTTTTTTTTTTTTTTTTTTTTTCTGTTTTTCTTATTAAATTGCAGCTATAAAGTTAATTTTTGCTCTCATTTTTAATCATGGACTTTTTGAATTTTTGTTTGTGGCTGTTGTGTAACATTGTAATTTTTGTTATGAAAATGAAGTTTTATTTTAGTCTGTAGATGACGAATCTGATAATGGCGCTGAAGCCAGAAATAGTGATGTGGAAAGTGTCGGATCAGCTTCCCCACCTCAGTCCCCAGCCTCTGCACCACAGTCACCATCACCACCACACTCAGTGGCTTCTGCACCAGAGTCGCCATATTCTCCACCTCAGTCACCATCATCTCAGCCAGCATCACCATCTTCTCCACCTCAATCACCGTCATCTCCTGCACGGTCAGCATCATCTCCTGCCCGATCAGCATCATCTCCTGCCCGATCTGCTTCTTCGCCGGCTCATTCGGGAGCATCTGAAGCTGAACAGTCGGAAGATGAAATACAGGTCAGTTGTTTTATATGTTGAACTAGTAACTGTAGTATTGGTTTTTAAAATTTTTATCAGTTAATGTTTAATTTTGTATTAATTTATTTGCAGATGTAATTAAGTGATACATTTCTTAATATGCTATAACTTATGATGTTATTATTTATTATTATACCTCAGTTTCTTGTTTTTGTTATGGCTCTTTATGCAGAAATAACCAAACATCCTTCGTTGAGATGTAACGAAGGGTGATTGTCCATGGTATCAGCTTACCATTTGGGATCACAGATCCAGATTATAGATAGCTTCAAAACTATTCTATAATTTTTTATAGCTCTGTTTTCTTTCACAAAACAAAGGAATTAGACGCTGTTAAGGACTGCTGCATAATGATGGCTCATTGTAAATATGCTCATATTTTTACTTTGCAGTACTCTGCCACTCACTCATACTGAACCATCTGTATCACAGTGTAGTTACGTGTACTTATGATTTTTGATGCAAAAATAAACTATTCCCTTGCATCTTGAAACTATTGACTTGTTAAGCAATTTTTAATTTTGCTATGTATTTGGGAAAAAAAAAAAAAAACAATGCTGATTATATTAAATACGGTTTTGTTGCTATACAAAAAATTGTATTGACCAGCCGGAATGTTTCATTAGTTATGAAGTATTGAGAAGTGATGCCACGAGACCTTCTCATGTGGAGCGACACATGTCGACAAAACATAGCATGCTAAAAGACAAGACGGCTAATCTTTGGAATATGGTAACAGGTAGTTTGGTGACATTTTGGTAAGGCGATAAAGGTTACTAGCTAGGACTTTAGCAGTGTACATGGATAAAGTCAAGAGTGTACACAATGCCATTTTTGTGCAATTCTGAGATATTTTTTTTAAATGAAAATAGGTCGACGTGTACATGGATGATACCGTGTATGTGCAATTCTTAAAAACGCGGCAAGCAGTGGGCGATTCTGCACTTTCTCCCAATTTCGCATCTAATTTTTGTCATGATTAAGCGCTTTTGTTCCATAAAAATTCTAGCATAAGCGTAATTCGGCTAGCAAATTGTTGGGAAAAAATGTTGAGTAAAAAAAAAAAAAAACACCTTTACTTCGTGAAAACAAAATGGCATCCAAAAAAAAACAAAAAAACTAGCCGGTTGCTGTAGCAGGGTTGGTCGTCAGATTTTCGCCAAAAAATCGCCATGTTACCATAATCCAAAGATTAACCGACAAGACAAAAGAGTCGTTTTGCTGCAGAATGCACAAGTTTAAAATGTATCAAATAGGATAATATTATATCCTTTACTCAGTTATCTGCAAAAGTGTTTCCCCCCCCCTACGTCAATCTGTAACGATATCTGCCATGAGACTTCTGGCAGCCCAATAAAATTTAGCCTTGATAAAGTTGTTAGAATTAAAAGTCATAAATTCAAGTGCAGTGCAAGTTGTCAAATGAAGAAAGTCCATGGTTTCACCTGACAGACAAAGAGGACAGACATCATCAGCAACTACATCAGTGCGGTGCATGTGTCCTGTCGAGAGTCGAAAATTTGCTGTAAAAATGCAAGATTATTCCACACTTTAACAGTTAAAAGGAGTTTAAGAGTTGGTCCACTTTCTTTACTTCAGAACTAAACTGATGGCTGGATAGAGGAAAATGTTGTTGGGGTGGCTTACAGACATTTTTAGCCAAAAGATTGGTTTTTCTGTTTTCAGGCACCCCGCAGTGGCTGTGGATCCATTGAAAAACAAGCTCCCAACTAGAGGCAATTACTTTGGATACATTTATCTTAGTCTCTTCACCAAGAGAATAATCATAAGATGTATAGGCGACAGCTGCCATAATTGCAGACCAGGAGTCAACAAATATAAAAGCCTTACTAAAGTTAGTATCAAGTCCAAGAAGATTTAATATTGCTTTTCCCATGGTGAAAATCTCTGCATTGAAGTTAGAGATATTAAGGCCAACAGCATGGAATTCCTCAAAATATCCTTTATGGTACAACCCAGCAGCAGTATTTTTCTCATATGCAGAATCATGAAAATGTGGATTAACTCAGAGGTAGGGTAATTTGTAGCTATAACGTCTAAAGAAAAAGCATGAAGAGCATCAGGAACTGCATCACATTTCTTTTCAGGCATACCGATAGCAAGATTATAAGTATAGACAGAAGAGGTATAGTACTAATAGTAGGAGGAGAGATATAGTACTAATAGTAGGAGGAGAGAGTCCAAACTGGAAAGGGTGGAGCATAATAGCATATGTTATATAGGGTACAAAATTCCTCAGCACAAAAATTGGAAAGGGAAAGTATAGTAGCATATGTTATATAGGGTACAGAGTTCCTCAGCACAAGAGATAAATGATTTGTGTGTTTTCAGTCTATGAGTGATGGGAAAGTACTGTTTCCAATGTTGCAAATTTCAATCTTTTACACTTATCATGGAGTTTTAAAGTCAATTTTTGTCTTTTAAATTTTAAAGGCTCATTGCCAGTTTGAATTTTCATGACAGTGATTGGAGTGGAACCAGCTGCACCAGTAATAATCCTAAATGCTTTTTTTTTGCGTCAATATCTTCTTGACAGGTATTAGAGGCAGTGGCTATAAGTTCACCCCCATATTCCAAAACAGGCTTGACATAAGTTTTATATGTGGTCAAAAGGGGTATCAGTCGAGGAATTCCAAGGGATGCTAGACAATCTTTTTAAAAGTTTGAGTCTGTTATTTCCCCTTTAGCCGTATCATTAGTGTACCTTCTCCACAAGAGTTTATTATCTAAGAAGACGCCAAGGTAGCGAAAAATATCTACTTGAATTAAATTTTGACCACCATAGGAAACGTTGATTTGGGAATGTTTTGTTGACAAAGTGAAAAGCTGGCACACTATTTTTGCAGGGTTAATAATTACAAGATTTTGATTGCACCAAGTTTCAAGATCTTTAAGGCATCATTTCTAGACTTTATAGCAGTAATGTCGCTTCCTGTACTGTAGATAACCATGTCATCGGCAAATGCTAGGTATTTCATACCTGGTACCTCCAACAATTTAGTAGTCACTTCATTAATAATGATACTAAACATGGTACAACTAATTACAATTCCTTGAGGGAGTCCATTTTAGAGAAGAACATACCTGGACAAAGAGGACTGATATTTAACCCTGGCCATTCGTTGGAAAATTATTGATTTAAGCCAAATTTAGCGTAATTCCCCTGACACTGGCCAAAATCATCTTCTCAACCATTTTTTTTTTTTTTAATGCCAGATCTTATCATAGGTATTTTTAAGGTCTACATCATTGACAGCAAGTGTGGATTGTTTTCTATGAAATCGTGAAAAGAATGCTGTTTTTTCCATAGTATTACGTTTTGTATGGAAACCAGCCTGAAGGTCTAAGAGAATCTTATTGTCCTCCAGATGGAAGTTTAGCCTATTAGTTATCATTCTTTCCATTAATTTACAACTTTTTGTTAAGGAAATTAATCTATTGCTAGATGGATTGTCAGCTGGCTTTTCAGGTTTCAGGAGAGCAATTATTATAGCCTTTTTCTACTCCAAGGGAATATACTATTTCCAAGTAATGTTATAAAAAGTGAAAAGAGGAGAGGAGTTTGTTTCCCTTTTTACCCAGTTTAATGAAAAGTTCACTGGGCAAGTCGTCAGGTCCAGGGCATTTACCCATTTTTGTCTCATGCATAGCTCTGTGGAGCTCGTCAAGAGTAAAATCACTGTTAAAAAGAAGTTCATCGTCATGGTTGAGACATCCAGATGGCGGCTGATAAGGAAGTCTAGTCCATTTTTTTTATGGAGAATCTGCACATTAAGGTGTAAAATTTGGCAAAGTTGGTATAATAAGATCTTCCATTTTTAACCAAAGGCTCATTTTGTTCATTATTTCAGGAAGAGAGAAACGAATAAGCCCGGACACCGTCTCTTAAGTCCAAAGCTGAAACAAAATCTTTAAAACACTTTCTTATTGATTCTTTAATAGCCGTCTTAAGGACTGTCTGTGAAAGACGAAGAGTTGCATTTGATTTTAAGTCACCCAGAAGCTTAGCCTGTAAACGGGCATCATCACGTTTTTTTTTTTTTTTTTTCAGATCCAGATAATTTAGCAGACCAGAAAGGTTTATAATTTCTCAGTCCTCTAGAAATTGAGGCTTTGGCACAAACACAAATAGCCTCTGTGATAAAATTACTACATTTATCTGCGTTTTGAAAAGTCAAGTTTATTCACATCAAGAAGTTTGTCACTCAAATGAGCGTACTTTGGGCATTCAGCCTTTTTTAAATTCCATCTAGGAAAAAAATCTCTATAAGTATAAGAGCACTGGGAATCAAGGGTGTGAGTTATCTTTGGTATTTTATGTCCATATTCACTACAGGACTCCTGAAGGTCAAATGTAATTTTTTTTTTGACAAATTAATGTGTGATGAAACAAGATCAGGGTTTGTCTTTTCTCCTTTAAAAGAGAGAAATATATGCCCTTTAGACTAGTGAAGATCAAGAGCAAAAGAGTCAAGGAAGACCACCAATGTGCTATCAGGAGGGTTTGATCGCTTGTGACCCTATCTGCAAGAGTGGCAATTATAGTCTCCAACAATTATGGTGTTTCTATCAAGAGCATTTTTTAGGATAGAGATGTTAGGTATATTACCAGGAGGGTTATAAACAGAAACTAATTTAGTTCACTACGATCCCTTCCATACGTGTAGCTCAACTGCCTCTAATTTGTTGACTTGCATTGAGTGAAGAATTTTGAAAATGCAAGTAATACTACTTTTAATGCCGGAGGCAATTTGACGGCATCTTGGTAAAGATTAAAGTTTTGGCATTTGAAATATTCCAGGTCAGTAGAAACACCAGCCTCTATGATAGCAAATACATCACAAATCTCTCTAGCTGAAACAGTTTGAAATTCCGTAAATTTTATACTAGACAAGCCACCTTCTAGAAAAGGACTAAGAAGGCTACCGTGTTCGAGCCATGAGAAGGGCTATTTCTTG